AAGATTGCGGAACTCATGTGCGAAGATGATACTTCTGCAGCACGGTTAGAAGATCGAATCGCGCGATTTTCTACTCTCTGGGCGCATACTCGTTTCCCCGAGGTCACTATCGAACTCTTTTCGTCGGTGCGAGGTATGCAGGAGGATGAGCTACCGTGGGCTACGCTTCGGCAACCAGTCTTAGCCATTATAGACGGTGTCGACGCTTCTCAGGCCAATGACCGGCGACGATTGTGGCTAAACAACCTGCCGTCGATCGGGCCCATCTTCAGAATCATATATGCCGAGTCAACCCATTCTGTGGAAGGTCAGATCTCCCTGCTCGGCCTGCACCGACTCCGAAAGGTCGCGACTCTGGCAAAGCAATCCGCTGCTCAGCGAAATGAATTCTTTGGGCAGGCAGGCTTTTCTGGCATGATGCTAGATATCTGCACAGAACATATTTCGTTGGGGCATTCCGAAAAGGAGATCTTCACAACAACTCTCTCTATCCTATGCCTGATTTTAGAAGAAGTCGAAATACGTGGAGACCACAACTTGATCCGTCTGTTGATGCAACTGTTATCTCAGGTAGTGCCGGACAGCCCGTCCCAGGAAGAGATACTGGACGTGTTGCAGATTATATTCTCGAAACCGAACATTGGCAGTCCACCGGGCGACCTCATCCAGGTCCTGATCTCCGGCATTTCGTCTAAAGGTATCGACTCGACCATCGACAAATGGGTTACACTTCTTTGCAATACCATCCCGTTGTACTCGACTCAGACTCTCTTCGCGAACATGCTCAGACTGACAGCCTGTTTCTGTGACCGGGTCAAGGACTACTTCGCATTAATGCGGCGACTTTATGACAGACCCGAACCCGCGGCCCAAATCAACGGAGCCAAGCCTATCCCGGCAGCAAAGCACCCCGAACGATCGATCAACAATCTACTTGCAGGGCTGGAGTACGTCCTAGCAAGGGCGCACACGCATCTGGTAGACCAGGTCTCCGGAGCCGACGAAGCTAGTCCCAAAGTTGCGGAGAAGACGCAGTTGCGGTCGATTGCGAACAACCGATTGACCGTTATCCTCTGTATGCAGGATACAATCAGACTCTGTGGCCAAATCTGGGTTTGGAGAATCTCGAAGAGGACGCTAAACAGCGCTTCGGATGGCAAGTCATTCGCGTACATCTCTTCACGGTTACGGACACGAACTCGCCGGATCCTGGAGCATTTGGCGGACGCCGAGCCACAAGAATGCCTCGAGACGCTCATGGGAATGTGGGTTGATGCTACCCGGAGAGACTCTGGACAGGACGTCACCTTGAATCTCATGCAAAGTCTTGATGGAGCAAGACCAAAGTTCATGATGCCTGCCACATTCAACGCTGTTTACAATCGTACGAATCCTGCGGCTCTGGATCAGTCGCAGAAGTCAAGCTTGTCGGTGGACGTCAGTGCGCTGGAGCTGATGGCGTTCTTGATAGCATACACATCCGCACTCGAGGATGACTTGCTTGAGGAAATCTGGACAGACTGCACAGCGTTCTTGCGGGAGGTGCTTGCAAATCCCATGCCACACCGCCAGATTTTGCTGAAGCTCTTAGAGTTCGTCGCGGTTCTGTGCCAGAAGATGGAGAACACCAATTTCGGAGAGGTGTTGAAGATGCGACGAGAACTGAGTGACCTATGTGCCAGGCTGTTCACGGCCATCTTCACAATCCGTCCCGCCGGGCTCGACTCGACGTCTCAGGCAATCCCCGAGTCAGCAAGTGCCAAAGCAGTGGCAGACACGCGGCCCAGAAACCCGTTGGAAGCTGGTGGTGCTATCCAGGTCCTTTGCGAGGCGCTTCCGATCATCAGCAATGCCCTTGGAGACCAAGACCGGCTGACGGCCACCCTGTCCGGGATCGCCACCCATGTCATCGGTCCGGCTTTGCGGTCAAAACAGTTTCCGCAGACGGTCAGTATCAACCTCCTGCAACTTGTGCTCCTGCTGGCCAAGTCCCAGCCGAACAACAAGACATGGAGGAAAGATGTTTCCGAGGCGATGAATGACAACAAATTCTTCCAATCACCGCCGGCGCTGGCGGAGGGGGGTTGGCTGCCTGTCTTGAAACAGTTCTGGTTGACGGATAAGAGCTTAATGCCAGAGCTCGTGTCTAGACTGAACCCCCCAACGACAGCGGGGATTATGTTCGGGGTGGGCGCCAGTGCCGCTCGAACGGAGGCTGACAGGAAGACACAGCTGAACCTGCGGCGTATCGCTCTGCTGCTGTTGGCGGCCGATGTGGATGCTTTTGTGCCAGACCTGATCCAGATCATCCGCAAAGTCGAAGAGCTACTGACCGCAACGTCGTCATCCTCTCCCTCGTCCAGCACACGCGGAGACATCTACCTGGTCCTCCGGGCGATAACCCTGACGTTTACCCAAACACATCTTGTATCCATATGGCCGATCGTCGACGTAGAGCTTCGCGACCTGTTCACAAGCATGCAGCAGACGGGCGAACCGACCTATACAAGCTTTTCGCATCTACAAGGAGCAAAACTACTGGATCTGCTTCTTCTCTTGAAGCCCGAAGAGTTCCAGTTGCACGAATGGTTATTTGTGACGGACACGGTCGACGCGGTTTATCCACCCCACGATTTCCAGTCGACGGCGATCTCGGATCAAATAGTGAGCAAGGGCAGCCACGACATCGAGCTGCCGACAGCATCTGAGACGGAGGCCAGGAAACCGTGGCTGTGTACAGACATGACGAGGACTGCAGAAGATCCACAGACGCTGTTGCGGCCTTTCTTCCGGCAGTTAAGCATCCACGCTTTTGAAGATACGTACAGCCTTCAAGCAGCAGACCTCGAGGCGTGTCGGAAGGACCTACTAGCAGATCTGTTTCTAGACTAGCATCAGGAAGAGTAGGTGATTGAGGCATATATTGGCCTCTTCCGCACGACCGTAGATGAGTTCTGCCCCTCAGCCCCAAGAGCCCTCTGCCGTTAGAGCCTCGGCCGCGCCCCAGGCCCCCGGGGCGCCGCTGGCCACAGATTAGTGGCGCCCATCGACCCCGTGGTGCCTGTGGCGCGCGAATGTGGAGAAGATGCGGCCCTGCCTCGTGAAACTTCGCTCGTTGCTGTTGGTGCTGCATCGCGATCCCGCCCGAACGTCACTTCCACATGTTCTTGTGATCTTGCCATATTTCACAAGCTCGACTTTCGTTGATAGTCGTCACATACACATCACCGGAAACTCACCCTCCGCTGTCCAGCTCACACGCGAACCTCCGAAGCTATGGCTTCACGCGCCTTCGTCCCGCGCCTCTCTTCCGCCTCCCGAACATTCAGAGCTTTCCCTCAATTCCAATCAAGGTCTTTTCAGTCAACGAGCAGACAGTTCCAGGAAGCTGCGACGGCTGCAGCTGTCCCTGTGAAGAGACCGGTGGGAGCTTTCAGAGGAGGGTGAGCTTTGTCGACCGCGCAGAATGAGGCGATGGCAAACTGCAGAGCTCCGAGCAAGCTCGAGCTGTTGTCACTAGTAAGAACAGAACGGCTGACAATTTGCGCTTCTTAGACTGTTTGGATTCCTTCTCGGCTCGACGCTGGCAGGCGCATCCGTCTATTACTACATCCTCGAAGAATACAAGGTTTCGAATGAGCTATTGACCGAGGATATCTATGTACGTTGGTGATTCCTCTCTTTCTCGAGCACATAGAGCTCGACAGCCGCCATTGCGACAGACCCTCTACATGGGACACCGCCGGCTTCTGTCAATTGAATATTGCCCACATCTTCACCATAAGAGGTCAACGCTAATACCGCGACACCAGGCACTCCAAGCAGCCGTGCAACGGATTCACTCCTACGTGACGGAACTCGAGAACAAGATGGGCCAGATGAAAAAATGAGCATTGATGACACAGGCCGGAGGAGCTACTGGAGCTACATGCGAGGGGGGCAAGAACGACAGCAGCATTTCAATCCTTCAATCCCCGATTGAGCGGTACTCGACGGCTTTTTCTCGGACAGGCACACGCACATAATTTCCAATGTTCTCGACTCCAGCTGCTTGAGCAAATGTAAAACAAAATGCGTCTTACGCTGTCCATGTCCTGTCCATGTCCTGTCCATCTGCAAGGTTTTGTCCATCGGGTCCAGAGTCGTCTTTGTCGGGCGCATTTTACTTCTCACAGCACGGTGCGGTCGGCGTTGCCCAAGGAGCACAAGAATCTGCGTCTTATGGTGCGCCCCAAGTCTTGTCTATCTGGCTGGGGTCCTCGAGTGGCTGGATTTGTGCAATATCAGCATGTAAGTCCTGGAGCATTATGGAGCGAGACGTTGATATCCTTCACTCCTGGCTTCAGACTCTACTGACGTAGCCAGTCCTAGCTGGTAAGTTCTTGTGTGGACGAGATTTTGGCGGTTGCATATGCAAACCCTCCACTTCATATTGCACAGCGCAGCCACAGGCGAAAAGGCGACTGGCCAGGGGCGACGCCTAAAGCACAACCTCCTATTCACCTCTCCGAAGCATCGTTATCTCCCCTTTCCTCCCAGATCCCCATCGAAGCGCTGTTGCCAGTATGTGCTAATCCTAGGGGCGGAAGTTGTGGAACGATCGCCAGTGCTGTAACATCGGCGGCAACCTCAAGCGGTGCACAGAGGCCTTTTGATGCCATCCGTACAGCTCAAGACCAACCAACAGACGTCAAGCAGGTGAGCACCACCAATCAAACGCTGGCCTTCCGACAAGACATGATAATCTTTCGGATACACCGAATCAACGACATCAGGACCCTCGACCAATTTGTCGGAAGTCTGCAAGGCTAGCAATCCGGCAGTCTCCCTTGCCGCGTCTATGAAGCACACACTCCACACAAATCAGCGTCTTTCGGCTGTACATCAACGCAGGGAACGAGGCAGTAAGCTCCGGGGATACGACAGATATAGCGATTGTAGGAGATTCTAACTACAGTAACTTCCTATGCAACCGACCCACAACATCAACGACATGGCAGTCATTTCTCAGAAACAGGGTAATCCTTTTTCCGCCCCGAAAACTCCCTATCCGCCGCGTCCACTGCAAGCCTAAACGTCTGGACCAACTCCTCCTTCTCCTCCAACCCTACCGACACTCTCACTTGGGTCACGCGCAAGTTATACCCTCCCACCCATTCCAGCTCCCCACCATACACCCCAATGGTGTACGGCAGCGCGATGGTACGGTGGGCACCCAAATGCGGGCCCATATGCACGTGCAGATTATCATAAAAGGCAATCACAGAGGGCAAGTCCTGGAACTCGACGCTGAAAAGACACCCATACCCCGGGCGGGGGAACTCGGGCGTCGGCACCCGCAGGAAGGGCGCGTAATTCTGCACCATCTCTTCACTCGTCGTCGGATAAAACACGGCCTTGACACTGCTGAGGGGATCCTCGGCCTTCACGGCCAAGAAATTGACCACCGCCTCGGCGTTGGCGTTCAAGATACTCGTCCGCGAGAGGTACGTCCTCGAATTGAGCGCCAATTGGGCCGCGTCGCGCACGTAAAGCCCCACACCTGGGTCTGCACGATACGTTGTATCAAAGAGCGTCTTGAGTGCGGCATAGTGCCTGGAGAGTGGTGACAGGACGGCACTCCCTGCCATGACGTCCGCGAAGCCGCTGAACGACTTGGTGAGGGACGTGACGACAATGTCTGCCACGGCAAGGACGTCGACGTTGGCGAACGAGCCGATCGTGTCGTCGACGATCAGGAGGGTGGAATACCGCGTCGCGAGGTCGCGGAGGCGACGCAGGTCCGCCACGCGCAGGAGCGGGTTGGTCGGGAACTCGGCCCAGATGGCTTGCACTTGACTGCTTCCGCTTGCGGTTGGATTCGCGGCACTCTGTTCATGCCTTGACGCGAGATGCCCTTCGAGTTTGAGCAGATCGGACTCGTCGCCCAGGCCGAAGAATTCGACCCCTGGGCCGAAGTCTTGAAGTACGTGGATGGTGGAGTGGAATGAGAAGCCAAACAGCGCAGAAGGGCCGTCGAACTGGCTCAGCACAATCCGGTGCGTCCAGTAGATGGCCGCCATGCCGGTCGGGAAGAGGTACACGTCCGAGGGAGACACGGACACGGACAGCTCGGTCACGGTCCCTGTGCTTGTACTCGTCGTAGTGCGAGGCCCGCGGGCAGCGCCTGCCGCTGGCGCGCGGTTCAGCATCATGGATATCCTTTCCTGCAGGGTCGTGTGGGCAGGAGTGGTCCACGCGGTGGTGGTGCTCAGAGCTGAAACCACCGTCGTTGATGCTTTCTCGGCGTCCGTCGGCTTGCACTCCTGCTGACCCTCCGTCAGAGAGTCGATGCTCGTCAAGCAATCTTCGGCGAGACGCGAGGAGATGCCGACCCCGGCGTTGAGCCAGAAGCTGTGCACGGTGGAGGTGCGTTCGACCGGGAAAATGACCGTGTAGAGCACGATCGGGAGGGGATCACCACGTATTCTGAACGTCCGAGTACTTATCCTATCCCGGGAGATCGTGCCCTCGCCTCGAGCAGCGGCGGTCGCGAAGTCGATACACATGGTCGCGACTTGCCGCGAGGGGAAGATATAGCATCCCTGGGCCTGGGAGTCGAGGTCGGCGAACTCGATGATCTTCTGGGTGAGCTGTGATGGGCGTCAATATACACGCAGCATCATCACTAGGTGAAATACACAGTAGGGCCACCTCACCTCTAATACATCCCTGTGGAGGACGAATCGGGGGTACATGCTCTTCAACTGGGCGAACAGCGTGGGATCACGGTCGTTGAACCGCTCGATCGATCGCCATGTCGGGAGATGGACGGTGATGGCATGTCTGGGGGCTGGAGGCAATGCTGTGCCCATGGGGGTTTGGATCTCTGCCACCATTGAGGTGTCGTGTGTACGGTACCTAGGTACGATGGATGGGGAGCAAGGGAGCAAGGGAGCAACGGCGCCAGGGATATTCCCCTCTGCGCTATAGTATAGGTAGGTACTCTCCAATGTCACAGATAAAGCAAGACGAGACAGGCAGGCTGACAGACAGACCGACAGACAGACAGACAGTCTGCACCCATGGCGGGATTGTCACGGTTGCGTTGCTTAATATCAACACGAGGACGACGTATGCGCCACAACCATACTGTACTTACACTCACAGTCATTCTCACTTTCTCACACTCATGCCCACTCACACATTTTCTCATACTCCATACCGGGTCGAAGCGGCAGCAGGGCAGTACAGGGTCGTAGAAGTGGCAAGCAGCTGAGGCAAGCTTTTGTCTCATCCCAGTCTGCGTAATTTTGATCGAGGTGGACGGGTGGGGAGGGGGTTTCTTTTCCGCGAATCACTACTGTACTACTAGTACTGCAATGCCACAGGTCCGCTGTGTGTGTCTGATTCCTTCCAACCAGCTAGGATGGGAGGTCGGGAATACGAAGGTCAAACTAGCAATGCTGTAATTAGGTGGGTAGCCTTGCACCGGGGGCATCTCACACGAGATCTGGGCTCGTGTTCGCGCCTCTCTGAGAGTCCACAGTAGTGTAGCATGCTTATCAGCCAAGACATCCAAAGAGGCGCTTGGATTCGTGTTCAGTACGCTTGTACTGTGCCTCGCCATCAGTTTTGGGCGGTCCGCAATGACATTCGGCATTCGGCATCGGTCTCTTCGTGTTCGCGGCCATGCTTGCACGAGTACTGCAGAAAACGTGGAGCGAAGCGGTGGGAATTTAGGAGTGAGTCTTCCAAGATCCATCGAAGGGCCGCGTGAGGGACGATGACGGTCAGCCGCCCGCTAATCACAATTGGTCCTGTATATGCCGCTTTAGTGTCTACCTAATTGCTACGGGCTTGAGCGTGTAAGCATTGGCGTGCCAGGTGAAGCGTAATGAAACATACGGAGTACGAAATCTGGCACAGAATACTCCATGTATTCTGATGACTTTGCCGCCCTGAGGACGGTGCATGTCACGGCCAAGTCGGTCGCCAACTACGTTGAGATCGCGGTCCAACAAGTTTGGTGGAGTGAGTGTAAAGGCAAGAGGTGAAGCGAGCAATGTACTGCTCCATGGGCCGTTCCGAAGATGCAAAGCAGACTACAGAAGTTTCATTCGATTTCATTCCGTCACTTGGAGATGATTTTCCTAGTCGCCGTAGAAAAGCGTATCTGTACCTCCTGCTTCATGGTCTCTAGCCTGCCGATTTCTCTGGGCCACTTTCAATTCGAATGCTTTTGTCTCATAACATAACGTAGCTCTCCTGGTCTGATTGCCTCGAAGCTCATACGGACCGTAGCAGCGACTTTGCCCTGCCTTAGAAGACCGCCCATCGTTAGGGAATCATGCGTATATCCCAATCCTGGGGGTAGGCAGCGGACAAAGTCGATAGTGCATCACATGAACGCTCACCGTCCCGTGCATTGCTGATATTCCAGCATGCTAGTGTGCCTCATTCCTGTCACGAGCCACTTTACGTCGACCCGCGTCGCGACTGCCTCCTCCGGGCCGGATATGGGTTCTGGCTGTGTGAGTGCAGCTTCCAGCGTCCGTCCCACCGTTTGCTTCCTTTCAGCTTAGAAGCCTCTGCCTCTACCACGGCCGCGCCCGCCCCCTCTTCCACGACCTCTGGGCCCGCCCCGGCCTCGGCCCCGCGAGTCGCCCTCCTTCCGTGCCTTGTTCTTCGGCTTCGGTTGATCATCTATAAGTAGTGTATCTAGAGGTAGGGAGTCAGGCAGGATGTAGTATCGGATGGTCGAACCGCGGATGTTGATGGTGTCCAGGCTGATGGTCTCGCTCGGCGCAAGAGGATTCGTGCGGTTTCTCGTCGTCATCTTGACTGCTCGCAGCGCCGTGTTCATCTGAGGTGATACTGAGGTGATGGTGCCGGAAATTATAGTCCCATTCTTGAGTTCAATCGTGACAGATTCGTTCGCACATTTCATAAGAAACCTACCAAATGTCAGCACAGAAGAACTCTTCGTGGCGGAAAGATTGAAGGGACTGCAGCCACACGTTGCTCAGCATGGGAGTTCCAGTAGCCAGCCGTGGTCTCTACGTACCTGACGAGCTTCATTTTTGCGCAAATGGGCGGTCAGTTGCGCCGCCGTGCGCAGAGGTCGAGACGGTCGTCGATCTGCTAGAAATTGCAAGCGCGTGGGAAAGGTCGAGCCGGGGGCAGATGTTTGATCGCTAAGAGTATGGCCGCTGGGTGTTTGCAATGTGCTGGACATACTCAGTACACTGTTGGGATCAAGAAAGTCTGCGAAAAGCAGCGCAGCCTTGCGTCGGCCAAGCAAAAGTCTTGGCGCAAGGCTGGCAGATAAAGTCCGACTGTTCACTGCAGGTTCAAGTTCAGTTCCTCTTCTCTTCAATTCAGCTTGGCTATAAGTTCCTGTAGTGGCGATGAAGTCCCTCAGGAAAATCTGATCCCAGCACCCGTCGATCCTGCCTGTCTGCATCTCGCTACTTTCTCTCTCTGGCTTCGACGCTCTACTTCCTCTTCTTCACCACCAATACAACCAGCGCGCTGCCGCTGTCAATCCAGTCCCTGCCCTTGCCTTCTGGCACTTCCTCCATGATCTCCTTAGAGCGCCTGACGAAGTTGTCCATCACGTCCTCGAGTTCTCCCCTCTCTACCTTCTCCCTGTTTGCTTCTCGCCAGCGCGTGACAGGACTGGCGGTTCCCATCAAAGCCTTGACTCTAGCGAAGTCCGTTCGCGTGGTTCCGGTAAAAAAGTCCTCGCCCGGCGCCACCTTTCCGTCTTTGTTGAATTCCAGCCTGACAAAGTCTTTCTCGTCAAACTCTTCGAGGAGCTTTTTCAAGCTCTGGTCATTTGCGTCAAGACGGTCGATACATTCCCAGGGCATGCCTAGGTCGATATACATCTCGCGACTGATCCTGTTTCCTGGCAGTTCATAAGGAGCGAGCGTCTCCTCTTCAAACTTCTTGAAGAATTCCCGCAGCTTGTGCCCGTTGGGAGTAGTATTGGGGTCAATACTGTAGCCCGCAAAGCACCATATGATAACACTCCCACCAGGCTTGAGTATCTTGGCCGCCTCCCCCCAGAAATGGGGCATGTCGAACCAGTGCGCGGCCGTGGCGGCCGTGATGAGATCCACACAGCTCGACCCGTCCGTCGAGAACTGTTTCAGGGCTGACAAGTTGCTCAAGCTTTCGGCTGAAGAGACCTCGTATGTAATAGGTGCCCCCGACTTCGTTGAGCTCGGAACAGTTCTCGCGGCCTCAATCATGCTCTGGCCCGGATCTGCCCCAATGGCATGTTGAAAATGTGGTGCGAGAGACCTCGTCGCGATGCCTGGACCGCAACCCACGTCAACGACCACGTTCAGGTCTCCACCTGAAGACGTGTGGTGGGATATGACAAGATCGATGACCTTGTCTGCGTAGCCAGGACGATGCTGGAGGTATCTCTGCGCCGACGCGGAATCATAATTTCGAAATGTCGGATCCTGCCTGGCCGCCTGTGAAGATGCGGTAGTTGCCATGCTTGCCTGCGCTGTTGCTGGGGTTTGGTGTCGTCAGAACGATATTCGAGCAGAGGAATCGTGCAGTACAGTCTTTCAGGTCCGCCGTCCGATCTGATGAGCCTGTCTCCAAAATGATCAGGACACCCGAAGTGCACAAGTCGTGGTCACACTCGGCTACGTTCGTCGGGCGTCGAGCAGAGGGAGCTTCGAGACCAAGTTCAAGTCGCCAGCAGACGGGTCAACGGACAAAACCACTTCAAGACTTCTTGAGTGGAGGGAGGTTGGAATCAGTCCGATCCCCCTCCGCTTGAAGATATCTTCATTCCCGGCGCACCGCCCCGCTTCAGCCTGCTCCGTTCCCGACAGGCGCCCCACCATGTATGGCCAAAGACACGCAGGTACTATAAGCTACACTGCCTTTGGCTTGAAGTGGCAGCATGTGTCTCAAACGGGCATGCAAACCCCAGTCCATCGTGCCGTTGACCGGCCCAGTCCTGCGACCAATGAAATCACGAAGCGCTGGGTTTCATCGGATCGTGGTTCACGATGGAGATGTCCGTGCGGAGACAGATTGTATATGAATGTCGACAAAATGCAATGTTGACGTTTACATGGCATACGACTGATCTCCCTAGACACTTTTCCGCATACAAGCAACACTTTCTCAGTCGAGCACACCTTCGCCATGCCTGCCCTTGCAGAAGACCTCGTTGCCGCAATCACAAAGTCCGTGTCCGATGGCTTTGACGATCAGATTGCTTATACCCAGAAACTCATCCAATATGGCGGCCAGCGTGGCGAGGAGACAGAGGTCCAGAACTTTGTCTTTCAGCAGTTCGCGGACCGCGGCTATGATCCTGTCAAGTTTGACATGGACGAGGAGGCAATCGGCAAACACGTCGGTGGCGGCAAGTTCAGTGCTACCCACTCCCGCGCCCCTTGTGTTGTAGGCACGCACAAGCCCAAAGCCCAGCACGCCGAGGGCAAGAGCCTCATCCTCAACGGGCATATAGATGTCGTTCCCTTGGGCCCTGTCGACATGTGGGATGGCGATCCGTACAGTGCGAAGATTGTGGGCGACAAGCTCTACGGCCGAGGGGCCGGTGACATGAGGGGCGGACACGCCGCGTATCTGTGGGCACTGGACGCATTACGACGCATTGGACTGCAGCCCGCCTCGGAGGTTATCTTGCAGTCTGTGCCGGAGGAGGAGTCGACCGGCAACGGCACACTGATGACACATCTGAAAGGCTACAAGGCCGACGCGGTGCTGATCCCCGAGCCGGTGCAAGAGAAGCTGGTGCGCGCGAACGTCGGGGTTCTGTGGTTCCAGGTCGAGGTGCGTGGTAGGCCCGTGCACGTCCGAGTCATGAGCACGGGAACAAACGCCATCGACGCATGCTGGAAGCTAGTGGAGCCGTTGCGCGAGTTGGAAGCCGAGTGGAACGAGCGGCACGTCAACGCGAAGTTCTTTGAGAAGGAAAAACATCCCTTGAGTAAGTTTTGCGAGTTCGGCACTTTTGTCGCTGTCCCACCCTAACCTATGTCTACCTTTTGCACAGACCTGAACGTCGCGATGGTCAATGGCGGAGACTGGCAGAGCTCCGTGCCGGCGTGGTGCCGCATCGATTGCCGCATGGCCATCGTGCCCGGTGTGAGCGCCCAGGCCGCAGCCCAGGAGATCGAGAAGAGAATCGCCGACTTTGCCCGCGCGGACCCGTACCTCAGCGAACACCCGCCCAAGGTGACGTGGAACGGATTCTACGCCGAGGGCTACGTGCTAGAGCCGGGCAGTGACGCCGAGAGTGTGCTGCGCACGGCGCACAAGCAAGCGACGGGCGAAGACCTGGATTACCAGACCTCGACGGCATATCTCGACGCGCGTGTCCACAGCATCTACGACAAGATTCCCGCCTTGGTCTACGGGCCCATCAGCGGCGACATCCACGGTTTCGATGAGTGGGTCAGTGTTGAGAGCATCAAGAGGGTGACGATTGCCATTGCCCTGTTTATCGCCCAATGGTGTGGCACCGAGAAGATATGACCATGTAACCAGATATGAATGTGCAGTCAATTTCTTGTCTGCTCACCTGACTATCGCGGAAAGTAAACCACCCCTACATCCTGGCCAGGATATTGTAGAGGATCAACATAACTGCCCCAGAGTATTATATTGTAGACGATCAACTCGTCCCGTCCGGTCCGGTCCCGGCGTTCGATCAGTCGGTCGGTCGGTCGGTCAATCGAGTCGGCTTGTACTCCCATACTCCGAACCATCCATCGTACTCGTATTACTGTAGCCGCTTCGAGTTATTGCCCTGTGCCGTGCTGCGCTGCGCTGCACTGCCCTGCGCTATCTTGCGCTCCGTGTCCGTGCCTGCATGCTTCCAGTCCCCGAATGTGTTGTGTGTGGCCTTACAGTATGCACTTGTGAGACCGGTACGTCCTCGTACACTCGCACAGATACTTGCTTGCTCAGAGGGGGCGGGGTCATCGACAGTATATACCGTGTATGTACCCGTGCGTTCGACATACCGGGTATACCCGATACACCTCAACGCAGTATACCCAGTATACCCCGTACGTGTCTCGGAAAGGTGTGCCGGGAATAGTACAGTTCAAAGCCGGGCTTTCTTTGTTTGCTTGTCTAACTTATGCGCTTGGGTTCATGTCTCGGTACGGAGTACGGATGTACTTGATCTTGCTTGATTAGTACATAGGCACTCCCGGTAGTAATATGCCAATTCGGAAGATGAACCGCGATGGCGCTTTTCTTTTTTCTCGGACTCCGTATAATATGTTGATTCGGGTGCCTGCCTGCCTGTACTCATGACCCATGAGACTGATCTTTTCAACCGATCTACTTATTCAGCGGAGTCAGTAATTACTATGATTGCGTACTGTATTCCGTATGTGATTCTAAGTTCCTATGTCTTTTCTCCGCACTATGTAAATCCGGTACACTTCCAATCATTATCTCGTCAGCGGGCTCTCTTGCCCCGGCAAGGCTTGGTACCTCGGCTTCCGGTACGCCTGATACTGATACTGAGACCGTGGGTTCGACTGATCCGGACACGCTTCGGCGGTGTGCACCATGTCGGCCGTCGGCCGGTCGGAGGACAATTCATCGAACTCAGGAGGCGTGGCGACTCCACTTGCGACGTCCTTCTTTTCTGCCCAATCTTTCCCCAGCCGCGGGGCCGTGAGGTCCACGCCGTCCAAGCCGCCGAAGAGGACGTCTCCCTGCTTCGTGACAGGGATGCCACCGTCCAGGTTTGTCCACTCGCCGCCCATTTGCGCTTCCTCGAACGCCATGCGCTGCACCTGGAACTTGTCATCCATGATCCATCGCGCGCGCCGGAATTCGCCCCACCGGAAACGGCGCTGCATCCAGCCTACCAGTGGCTCCAATACGAGGTGTAAAAGGACAATGGCCCCGCCTACAGCCAGGATGATCACCACGCCAAGCACGCTGAAGCTGACGGTCGAGCCGGTGAATGCCACTTTCTGACTGGAGCACATGGCCTTTGACACAATGTCGGTTGGGCTCTGCAGGTAGGCTCCCACGGGCATGTCTTCCGTCTTGACACTGGGAGCCGCATACTCGACGACGACGTGCTGAAGCTTCGCCAGGCTGATCTCGAACCAGTTGGCAAGTTCGATCTGCCATTGGTGATCCGGCAGTGGGACTTGTTGGACGCGGTCGTAGATGGTTTCCTGGGCGCGCAGAGCGGACGCGCCACGGCCGGAGATGGAGTGAAAAGTCGAGAGAGAGCGAGAGGACAGCGCGATACGGGATGCGACCGTGTATTGTACCTCGTTGAGGTTGAGCTTGGTGGCGTCGAGGGCCGCCCAGGCCTGTTGGTATCCCGTCAGGGGCGTACAGAGCGTCTTGTCCTCGACGTTGCAATATTGGTATTGATCTGCACATGCCATGGCGGAGACATATTCATCTGCGGAGAAATACGAGAGGTTGATGCCGTTGTAGGAACCGAGATCGACGTAGAAGTTTGCGCTGAAGAACGGGTCGGATGTTGGGTGGTTGTATTTTATTGCGTTGGCAGCAAGGAAGATGATGGTGAGGTCCGCATCTTGGGGGTCGAGTTCAGGGATGGCCATGAAGGTGGCGTCGTCGAGGGGAACTTGGAGGGCACTGGATGTCGGGCGACTCGTTAGTGGGGATTCTCGGTGGCGTTCCTTGTGTGCAAGCACGGGAAGACTTACTTCACTTCATAGCCGAATCCATCGATAAAGGCATGCTGGTTGTATAGGTAGGTCGTGTTCGTGTCGACGGCGGCGCCAAGGTATGCGCCGTAATGGTATTTTCTGATCCGATCACCTTGGACACCGAGGCCGTCGTCCCCAGTTGAAGTGATGACAGAAACGAAGTCACCCTTCACGCTCAGCGGCGAGCAGGTAGTGACTTTGCGGAAACCCACTCGGCCAGAGTGTGGAGCATTGATTCCAAGATCGTAGTGCGAGTCGATCAGCCCGGTGTCCATCTTGTGAGCCTGTGGGACAGCGCAGATTGAAGGATCGAAGGGACAAATCGTGCCTCCCGAGGACCAAGGGATAGATTGCGTGGTATACATCCCACAACGGAGTTTGTTGTTCAAGCTAGTATTTTGATCATAGCATTGCCGCGTATACTCTGCGGCCACCAGCGTATCGTTGAGATCCTTGTACTGCATTGCGAGCGTCCGCTGCTCCAGCGTCGCTGACGGGTCGAACGACCAATACCCACAGTCGTCGCTGACGATCAAGCGTTGAGCCCCTGCCGCACGCGTAACAAGAGATGTGAGAATCGAGGCCGCTCCAAACGCGAGCAGAAATACCAGCGCGAAGAGAGCGAGTGGCAGCGATCGAGTCCATGGCCGTCGCCCACTCTTCCGCCAATACCACGCGATCTCGGTGAAGGATTTGGTAGCCTCAAAGGGAGATCCCGTATTGCGAAACACAAGTTGGTGCTGGTGATAGATGCCGTCTTTAGCATTCGGACTGGCGGAACATTGATGGCTGAGGAAGCTGAGGACCCTCCATAGGCAGGACCCGACGATGGTGACGAAGAGGGCGAGGAAGGCTGTTAGGAGGGATGCCGACCGTGCGGATAGCGTGATTGTGCTCCCCACGATGATACCGCGAGACCAGTCTACCCAGGGACCCGTGTAAATGGAAGCTTCGGACATCGTGGACATAATGGAGGCAATGGAACGGGGAAGTGATCTACCATCTTCAGAGACATGGAAATCCTCAACATTATCATGTAGAAAGATACCCGCAACGGCCACCCTTCAAAGGCTGAAGCCAAGGACGATTGAGGCATAGCAGTCAAAAAGGGGTATCAACGACTCAACCTCAGCTGGAATACGAGGTTCGGCGCAGGTATTGACACTTTGAGGTACCTCACAGAAGCTTGACGTCTGTTACTAGCCAATCGCGACTTGCATGCGACCTGGCCGCAGTTACAACATCTCGGGAACTGCATCGCCACGTGGTTGCACCGTGAATGCAAAGCTTCACGGCTTCAGGGAAGCGGGAGAGCTTGGCGCGTCTCGAAATAGGTACCAGAGGTCTTGGTATTGCGGATCAAAAGAGAATGATGGGCTTCAAAAGGACGTTGTGGTCAGGTCTGAAATGAGGTCGAGCAAAGGAGACAAAGTCGGCGTGCGGCGGATACGAGGTGCCAAGACCCCGCCTTACCTATTGAGGAAGGTCGATGCCGACAACAGGGCTGACCAAAATCAAAGGTAACGGTGACACGCCTCTCATGCTGCTATCACTCTCTCCACGTCAAGTCGGTGCCTTGTCCCAAAGGCTCGGGAGTCACACTCTGTAACCCGCGAAAGTCACCTCGGACGGCTCGTGCAGACACGGCCCAGGTCTGAGACCGCCTCGCATCGTGCCACACCTGCCGACGGGCAGAAGCGTATTTGCATTCTTGGTATTATGGCTAGCTAGGTATGGTATCTGTGGACTTCAACGACAGATGTGGTTGCTAGCCTAGAACGAAGGCTAGACACAAAAACAACGCTTGGACGCTGACAAACACGAAAGGAGATGGCTCGATGTGTTGGCGGTCCTCCGATATCCCAAGAAACGAGCGTGAGTACGTGCGTGGCTTCTCATCAGGCCCGCTGTGGGAAGCCTTTCCAATCTTCCACTTCAAGAAATTCTGGATCCTAACGAACTCTGCCTGCCGTTGCCCACGGGGATAGGCAGGAGGGACATCCGTTTCCCCTTGCCGCTCATTGCGAGCACACTGCTGGGTCTGGTGACTGTACGCTTTGACAACGGACTAGAGTTCAGCTCCACGGGATGGTCCTCTTCGTTTTCGCTTCCCTGGTCATCCTCCTCCAAACGGTCCGACCGTTTCCCAGGACTACTGTCATGTCGGCTCACCATGATAGGATTGTGGGACATCGACCGCAAGGGTACCTGTGAGGATCCGTAACTTCTGCTGAGGCTGGATGGCGGCCTGGGAATTGACCCTCCACTCATCGTAGGCTTGTTGTCACGATTCACCACAATGGATGACGGTGAGCGAATGGTGCCAGGGACGGGAGCACTGGCGTTTCGATTTCGATGATAGGGTACGGGGTCCAACAAACTACTAGTCCTTGCTGGGACAGGATCAGCGACACGTTCAGCAAATGATCTGAACTGTTGATGGTCTTGCTTCGCCAGTGTTGGAAGCATACCCGACGGGGACGCCGATGCTTCGCGACTCAGCGGGCTCCTCAACGGCAGTGCAGTATTGGACGAGATCGACCGGGGAGTATATCTTCGCGCCGTGTTTGGCGTGGTGGTAGAAGAGGATCGATATGACGGTGCTAGCGTGCCGTCGTCCGACTTGACCACAGCCGACCATCGTGGCTTGTGTGAGAGAGGCGTAGGCTCGGGACGGGGTGCAGACACCACGGGAGGTGTATATACACCTTGACGGTACACTGACGGTGGCCCGGGCAGAGGTGAAACCCCGCGTCGAAGTGCACCACTGCTTGAATGCGACATGGGTGTCGTTGGGCGTCTCGACTGTGGAAGCATGGACGACCGTCTATTGCCTAAAGTCGGAGGCGGCGGCCTGCTCGTCGACGGCGTACGTTGTTTTGTGTACCCATTGAGGCCGTATTTGGGCACAGGCTTTTCCATTCGCTGTGGCGGTAGATCCACCGACGAAGGCGGAGAGCTGCCGGGAGTGCTTGCGAAGGTGCTCGCGAATGATCGGTCTCCCGACATGATGCTCGAGATGGATTCTCGGAGATGTGAGTTCTGTCTCGAACTGACCGGTTCCAAGAGGCTTTCCAGATCTTCCATGGTATCAGTCAGGTCCCGCATTCTGGAAGATAGATCCTTATGCAAGCGCAGGATCTCTCCATTGACAGTCAAGCGATCCTTCAGACCTTTCTGGATGATAGCAAGTACTCGCTGAATAGCGGGACTGTAATGCAGCCTCTTCGCCTCGAAGCTCTCCGTTCTCTTTGCGAAAGCCGATGGATTAGTTGCCGGGTAATTTTCATGGATGGCTTCCTGGACCTTGACTATACTCCTTTCCACCGAGTCGCACATCTTCTGAGCTTGCCGGCCAGCGTTGCGGAACACAATGACCCAGCGATCCTCACTCAGTTCGCGGCGGAGTGTTTCGGCCTCTTTTGATAACTCTGTCCAATTCTTTTCCAGGCGTGCCCGCTTTTCGTCGAGTTCCCGGCATGCTATGGGAAAGATCTTTTCCGCCCGAGACTGGAACATTGACAATCTCATGGGCAAGAAGTCCAGCGACGCTCTCAGGGGCTGCATGCGAGCGAACAGTGCGAGGAGGGTCGAGTCGTCGTGAGGGTTCTCGATGATGGGCGATCCAAGGGGTGAGGATTCGAAGGTGGGTATGCTGAATCGGGAGTTCGGGGTGGTTTTCTTCTGCGTGGGTTCATCGATAAACGATTCGAGCTCGTTCAAGTCGATATTCTGACCGGAGTCGGCATGTGACTGCGTTTGATATGCCGTGTGCCGCTTCTCTTCCATTTCGAACACCATAGCACTGAGCGCGTCCATCTCTTGTCCCACGTCTGCGAGGACCTTGGACCAGAGCTCTTCCCATTCCATAGCCAGTTCGACTTGTTCATGTACTTTTTTGAGCTGTTTCCGGACATCGTCCCACCCACCCAGAGTCACCTCCATCTGTTCGACGACTGCCTGCAGATCTTCGGGGTTCGCTTCGCCAATATCGGGCCGACCCTGCAACTCCTCGATCGAAAGGACATACATGTTGATGAGGTTTCCGAACTTGTTCACAGTTTTGTCCGTGTCATCCAGACCCAACCGTCCCGCAGCCGCCGCCCATTCGACATCGTCCTCAGCATCCAGATTTTCCAGAACCTTCAACGCCTTCTTGATCCATGACTGTATTTGTTCGGCTGCACCGTAAATGGCCTTGATCGCTTTTCGGGCGGTCGGGAGAGTCGTGACCGCAGCGCTCAGGGACTCGGCTTGGGGGACATTTATTGCCGTGAGACTGGCGATTTGGCTGTTGAATGACTGTCGGGAAAAGGAGAAAACGGAATCGCTCCGTGAAAGACTATCGGGGATCACGAAGGAACCCGCGTCACTGCTGGGTTCGGAAGAGGCGGAATTCGCCTGGTGTTGGGAGGAGACATCGTTCGATAACGAAGGGACAAGGAGTTGATGTAGGTCGACATCGCTTGGGGTTTCCACCATCGACGGGCGGCGGAACACAGGGGTCATAACAGTCAGCTAGAAGCAAGTCAAGCCTGCTCAATCTGCCGGATTTCGAGGCCAGAGGACCCAAAAGCAGGGCACTGCAGTGGCAGTCTTGTTCATGTGCGGTGGAATCGCTGACTGTGGCAGTTGGATGAGCTTGAAGTTGGGAGGTTTAGACTCGATCGTATTTGATCTGTGACTAGCAGATTCTCTCGAGCAAGTCGCGGGATGTCATCGGGACCCAGTGTGTACGGACAAAAATAATGCGTGGCAGTTGATTAGGCGTGCGTGAAGAAATGAATGAATGGACGAGGTTGGACACTGGAAGTTGTTGGCGGTGCAAGTGCAAGTGCAAGTCCTAGCCCAGGCCGGCCGGACATTTGTTTGGGTGTGAGATTAACCAACAACTCACGGCGACGAACGAGGGTTAGCCGTCACGGTTTCACCTCCAACTGTCCACAACGCGCCTGGGAAGCTTAAGATTGGGGCTAGCGCACGCTGCAGCCACTAGGATCGACGCTGCTATTCACCCTCGTGCCTGGAGGATGCACTCTGACATCAACCCTCATAACAAAAAAAGCCTGCCCTGCACAGTACTCTGTGTCCCTGCATATAACAAGCAAGTACCACTCCTCATCGGATGACATCTTTCGCAACAGGAGTACAACTCGCTGGATCGAGACTCAATATTGAAACGGAGAATCTCTGTTCTGTGTCTCAAATCAATGTGTCGGAGTGAACCCTATCCTTTTTAATGTTTGTGAGCCGGCCACATTCTAGACAGGCCTGCATCGCCCCAATCTGACGGCTGAATCAACGCCCACAACACAGCTGCCGTCTTCTCCCAAAGATATCCCACAAGCAACACCTCCAGTGCAGCCATAGCGGCGAAACGCAACGAAGTCAGAGAAACCGGGCCGAACGCCGAAGGAACCAATTCCGTTTAGATGACTTCTTCCCTCTCCCAGCCCTTAGCCCGTATGTGCTCGATACCTCTGCCGGGATGGGGCTTCGACGGGTCTTTGTACTCGGAGGCGAACGGATTCGGGTCTTCGGCCTGATTTAGGTTGCCCAGCGTATGATGAATCTCCCGATGCTTGGCCTCGTCGGCACGGATGTAGTATAGGAGGTCTCTCATGCTGCGGTGGCCTTCAGGCATGTTCCAATATTTGACGGCAATCTCAGGGGCCTCCAAATTCTGCCATTTCGGCAGCTTTCCAGCTTCAAGATCTTCGATGGCGAACGTATAGGTCTTGGTTGCCTCCTCTTCCAAGTATCCAACAAAGCGGTGGCAGGTCTTTGGCGAGAGAAGGTACGCAACGAAGAAGCCGTTGCAGAAGACACCCTGAGCTCCGAGGATCATGAGTCTCATGAAGAATCCCGGCTCGGCCATTCGGAGGAATGTCAGCAGGTGCATCCGCTCGTTGTAGGCATCCTCCAGCATTGTTTCAATCCTGAACGCACATGTCAGTAG